ATTTTGCCTTTGCCAACCACAAATGAAGATACGGGCTTCCAGAAAGAATACTTATAGGCAGTCCATGGCCTTTCCCCATTACACTTTCTGCTCTTTCAGCATGCAGTACTGTTCTGGTGGTCAAGGTGCTGTGGCTTGGTTGCTGCCGCTTGCCTGGTCTGCCTCCTGTGCCCTGGCAGATGTGGCTTCTTTGTGCTCTGCAGTTATAAACCAGGAAAACTCTGCCTGGATGTAGATCCGCACAGCTGTGCACGCTCCATTGTTAGTCATCTCACCTGCCAGGTCACACAAGATGCTCCCAAGGTACATTGTTGTCCTGGGTTCAGCAGTAGCAGTCAATTTTTCTCCTTCTTAGTAGCGGGTGCAGTGCTGTGTTTTAACTTTCAGCCTGGGAGCAGAGATGATAACACTGATGTTTACTCTGACCAAGGACTTTGTGAGCCTCATGCTCTGCCAGGGAGGAGGGGAAGCCGGGAGGAAGCAGGGACAGGACACCTGACCCAAACTGACCAAAGAGGTATTCCATACCACAGCACGTCATGCCCGGGAGGTAACTGGGAGTTACCTGGAAGGGCATGCTCTTCTCGGTTGGGCATGTTTCGGCGGGTGGTATTGTATTCTCTTCCCTTGCTACTTCCCTTATCATTATTATTGTTGGTAGCAGCAGTGATTTGTGTTATACCTTAGTTACTAAACTGTTCTTGTCTCAACCCATGGGAGTTACATCCTTTTGATTCTCCTCTCCGTCCCTCCTGGAGTGGGGGGGGGGGGGGGAAGGAAAGAAAGAGAGGTGGGGGAGTAGAAACTGTGTGGCTGACTGGGTTTGAACCATGACAGTTCTTGTTGGTGCCCAACACGGGGCATGAAGGGTTGAGATAAGGACAGATCTGACTGGAGTGTGTCTAATTGTATTTGTGATAAACATTCATTGTTTTAGATGAATAGTCACTCGTCACAATGCTGATTTATTGTCTCGCAAAGTTGTTTCTCTTGATCTCACAGTTTCATTATATCGTACCTTACTTTGGGCCGGTATTTGCTGTATTAGTGTTTTTCAAGTGTGGGGCTTGGGCTAAGGTTCTTGTCTCATTGTACTTTATGGTAATGACTTGTAATACAATAGAATCATTGATCATGAAACTGATCTGGCTTATGATCCCAGTGTGGTCACCACCTTTATACTTTGGGAGGTATGTAATAGAAGTGCTTAGCAATTACACATCTTTTTTCTCCTTCTCGGGTGGTCAACCTGTGAAGGAGACATTCTCTTATCCTCCCAATCCCCCCTCCTCCCCCCCAACGTTTACAGCATTATTTGAGAGTTTTGAAGTTTCTGAATGGCCTTTTAATACTGTTGAGACCTGTTTTCTGATTGTGATGGGGATCACCATGTTGGCACCCATACAGAGTGTGTTTTGTCTACGAGCATTTCGTCTGAATTCATGAGTTAAGCAGAGTCAGGTTTGGGTCTTGTCTGGGGTTAAATGACAATATAGGAGGATCAAGAGATTTTCCCCGAAGCTGGACAGCCATGAGTGACAGGGTGTGTGGGACAGTATGGACAAGTATCTAGGTTAGTGGGCCCCTCCAGTACTTTGAAATTTCACCAGTCGTGACCACAGCAGTGCACTGGCAGCAATATCGCACCAACCTAGACTCCCTGATTCCTATCCATAAGCTGATCCGCAGACTGGAGAGTCAGGGAGTGATCAGCAAGGAGTGATTGCTGAATGAGAAAAGTGGCCAGTACTTTATACTGACTCCTGGATGGTGGCAAATGCCCTGTCGGGGTGGTTGCAGCAATGGAAGCAGAGCAACTGGCAATACAGAGTAAACCCATCTGGGCTGCTGCACTGTGGCAAGATAGCTCTGCCCAGGTTCAGAACCTGGTGGTGAAGGTATGCCATGTAGATGCTCCTGTAACCAAGTCAGGCCACTGAGGAACACCAGAACAGCCAACAAGTGGATAAAGCTGCGAAGATTGAAGGGGCTCAGGTGGACTTAGATTGGCAACATAAAAGTGAATTATTTTTGACCTGGTGGGCCCATGACACTTCAGGCCATCAGGGCAGAGATGCAACATATAGATGGGCTCGTGATCAAGAGGTGGACTTAACAATGGACACTATTGCCCAGGTTATTCATGAGTGTGAAACACGTGCTGCAGTTAAGCAAGCCAAACAGTTAGTGCCTCTTTGGTACCGAGGACGATGGCTGAAGTACAAATATGGGGAGGCCTGGCAGACTGACTATATCACACTGCCACCAACCCGCCAAGGCAAGCGCCATTGCTTACCATGGTGGTAGCAACCACCGGATGGCTGGAAACATACACTGTGGCCCACAGCACTGCCTGGAACACTGTCCTGGGCCTTGAGAAACAGATTTTGTGGTGACACGGCACCCCAGAGAGAACTGAGTCAAGCAATGGGACTCATTTCCGGAATAACCTTATAGACACTTGGGCCAGAGAGCATGGCATTGAGTGGGTATAACACATTCCCTACCATGCACCAGCCTCTGGGAAAATACAAAGGTACAGTGGGCTGTTAAAAACTACACTGAGAGCAATGGGTGGTGGGACTTTAAAGCATTGGGATACACGTTCACCAAAGGCCACCTGGTTGGTCAACACCAGAGGATCTGCCAACAGGGCTGGCCCAGCCTAGTCATAACTTTTACATACTGTAGAAGGGGACAAAGTTCCTGTGGTGCACATAAAGAATTTGCTGGGGGAGACAGCCTGGGTTATTCCTTCTTCAGGTAAAGGCAAACCCACTCGTGGGATTGCTTTTGCTCAGGGACCTGGATATACTTGGCGGGTAATGCGGGAAGATGGAGAAATCCTATGTATACCTCAAGGGGATTTGATTTTAGGAAAAAACAGCCAATGAACTCAATTGGATGCTGTTGCCTGCTATGTAATACTTTTATAGCCCATCAACTAGATGTCTTCAGGTCACCAGCAACTGGCCCTGACTTCCCTCCAGCCATCATCCCAACAGAGAAGGAACTTTGATAGAACCAGACGAGTTCTGCGGTGAAGGAACAATCAGCATCAGCAGGCAACGATCCAACACTGCACACAGCCTCTCCTGCCCCGAAAGACTGTTACAAGAGATGGAACCTGACATCATGGACCGAATGGACTCAGCAGCATTATAGGGATTGGTCCATGCACTAAGAAATGATCTCTTTCTCTCTGTCTGTGTGTGTATGGGGATGTATATATATGTAAGGACGATGGTATATTGAAAATGTGGGATCTGAGCATGACGTGAATGGTATGGAATAAGGGGTACTACAGTAGCAGTCAGTTTTTCTCTTTCTTAGTCATTGGTGCAGTGCTGTGTTTTAACTTTCAGCCTGGAAACAGAGCTGATAACACTGATGTTTACTCTGACCAAGGACTTTCTGAGTCTCATGCTCTGCCAGGGAGGAGGGGAAGCCGGGAGGAAGCAGAGACAGGACACCTGACCCAAACTGACCAAAGAGGTATTCCATACCACAGCACGTCATGCCCAGGGAGGTAACTGGGAGTAACCCAGAAGGGCACACTCTTCTTGGTCAGGCTTGTTTCAGCAGGTGGTATTGTATTCTCTTCCCTTGCTACTTCCCTTATCATTATTATTACTGATGGTAGCAGTAGTGATTTGTGTTACACCTCAGTTACTAAACTGTTCTTATCTCAACCCGTGGGAGTTACATTCTTTCAATTCTCCTCCCCATCCCTCCCGGAGCAGGAAGCGGGGGGGGGGGGGGGGGGGAAGAAAAGAAAAATGGGGGAGGAGTAGAAACTGTGTGGCTGACTGGGTTTAAACCATGACAATTTCACACAGTCAAACAGGGCCTGAAACAGTAACATAGGGGAAGAACTTAACCATGAGTTTGGGGGAGTGGTTGAACTGGGGAGAGTTGGCTGGGAGGGTTGATTGGTGCCTGGGGACAATCTGGGCATTGTCAGTGGGTGGCAAGCATCACTTGTGGGGCTTTGGAGGGGCAGGGCTCACCCCTCCCTTCCTACTTCCCTCCTCCTATTGATATTACTATTGTATTACTGTAATAATATTTTATTTTAATTTCAATTATTAAACTCTTATCTCAACCCATGTTTTTACCTTTTGTCTATTTCTCTTCTCCATTCCATGGTGTGGGCAGATGTGAGAGAGTGGCTTCACAGTACTGAGCTGCCAGCTGGACTTAAGCCATGACAAGTTTAAACTCCTGTGGAGCTGATACAGCTGGGCTGTGCATGTCATCAGGCTGTCTATGTTTATGTCCAGGCGCTTGCTTTTCTCAGCATAAAGAGTAAACTACAAGTCCCTGAGTATTTCAGCAGGAACGCGTGGCTGACTAACCTTGTCTTCCATGCCTTAAAGCCACATACACTAATTAAAATACAGGGTCCAATCCTATGATAGCTTCTGCAGCTTCAGAGACCCCACAGGAATGTAACAGCATGGGGTAACAGGCCAAGGCCTGCAGGTGCTTTTCCAACAGGAGACTCTCCACCATCTCCAGAGCTTCCAGAGCAGGAGAAGATGTGGCCATGCACAATGTTTCCATGTATTCAGAAGGTTCATACTCAGAATATTTTGTCAGGAAAATCATCCTTGAACTTAACAGTATCTTCAGTATCTGCTTTGTTCCGTTGGTGGGAAATAGATGGCAAAGCAGCACCATCAACCCCTCCTTAGTTGAATCTGATCCAAGTAAATAAACAATAAATAAATAAATAAACAATAAATAAAAAATCCCCTGCTTACAGTATGTTTAATGGTATACTCCCAACCCAGATAATTCATAGTTAAAGGACTTTCTTGCAATCTCAGCATTGTGCTCTGAAGCATTCATTGGAAGAAGAGTAATTCTTGCCAAAGCCACAGCAGAGTCACTAGCTAAAATAACATAAATCCTAAGTTTATGTTTTGTTTTTCTTGCTATAGCTAGAGGAATTCAGTATTCTACATTGAGGAGAGGATGGCAGGCTAAAACAAGAGTAAAGAGAGTATTTATTTATTTATTTAGAACGCTGTTCACAATACATCACAACAGTGTGACTATATAATGAGGTGATCATAACAGGCTAACTTAAAAAGGAAAGACAAAGCGTAGATTATAGGCTAGTTGGAAACTGTGGGTTTTTCTCTCCCACAAGCAAAGCTGTACAAATTAAGACTATCTCATATAATTTCTGCACAGGTAAAAGATTGATTGACTTACTCAATCTGTACACTTTCTTCATTTTGTATAAACATACCATTACTTAGATTAACACTTCCAAACAGTTTACAAACTTCAATCTAAATACAGTATTACATTGCACTGATTTGTTGATTTAAGGTGCAGTTTAGCAAAACCTACAGTAACTATTTTCTTCTGTTCTTAATCAGTTCTCTTTGGCACGCTTCTGTTTTACTTAAGTACAAAAGTGTAGGACTGAATTCAGTATGTAACACTGCAGGAACTTGAAGGTTTTTGTTAGCATATCAGTACAATGTTAAGTTTACCACAAGCTTATTTACAAAGAACTGTATATGAATTTCAGTTTACATATAAAATGTCTCACAAGTCTAAAATGCAAGGCAAAAAAAAAAATTTAACAGCAACTCCTCTCTTGAGAGAGTGATTTTTGCACCACAGAAATCTTGTATAAAATGTTTCAGAAAATTGAGATTTTTATGAGGAAATTCTTGGTGCTTCTTATCCTATAGCAAGCCAACTGAAGACATGACTTTCTGGGTCCAGAAATGCTTCATAAGATACAGTTTAGCTGACATGTTGGCACTGTATTAGTATTGCAGCTACAAACTTGGGTGTTCAACTGGCAAACAAAACCAAGGAGCAAAAAAACAACCAGTCTGTGTAAAAAGCTTTGTGACAGTGGCTTCTTTCTAAAAAACGTATGCCTCCTTATCCCAATGAGGAAAGGGTTAGAATTTGCACTATGTGTTGCTCTATAGTCTATTTTCATCTTCACGACCCCTGCTTACCTTTGAGCTGATAAATATTTGGTTAGAGTCAAAGGTGAACAGACTTATTTCTACTTCTGATGGAAAAGTGCTAATAGGCCATCAAAGTGGACCTAAATCAGTGAAGTATCACTTTAAAAAAGCTCTGCAAATGCCAGAAGGGCAAACCCACAGCAATCTATTTCACATCTGAAGGGCATTCCTAGCAGCTGGCATTCACATGGAAGGCATTGGGAAAACTAGCTGCATAAACACTGGAAATTCTTCCATGCCCAATTTTTTCACAAGTAAAGAAAAATGAAGCCCTGTTCACAGTAAAATACTTATTACAAGGCCTTCCTGGTCTGTTACTTCCTGAATCACCCAAGTGCTATCCCCTCAGCTGCAAAAATGAGTATTTTGGCACATGCAAGTTACAGTAGGTGTCAAGTACAGTGCAATCTGTTTAGAAGGCAAGAATGTTAAAAGGTACTTCATATGGGTGCTCTGTAATGTGGGTAACATGTGAAATGCTGTACTACTCCTGAGTAAAACACATGTGGCTGTCCCAGATAAAATACCTGTTTATACGCATGCTGACTCTAAAGAGGCATCTCATAGCCTCAGGAATAGTGTATATTCTCATGGAAAAAAAAGAAAAAAGAAAAAAAAGTATTTTACAACTGTCTCTTTCTTCAGCCTATCAGCAAGGACTAGAACTGGTGAGTTCAAATTGTTGGGAAAGGTGATGAAAATGGGGCAGAACTGGTAAGAATCAAAATCTGTATGTGGCAAATCAAATGGATGTAAGAAGTAATTAGTTATCAATTAGGCTTTAATTTTTTGAGATACTGCACATGGCCATGTCCTTTAATGCTCCTGTTTTACCTGAAAGCTACTGGCTTTAGAACTGAGATGTCTGCGTGAAGGATATGGCATCAGTTTTATCCACAGCAAAGCCTCCGTTGACATAGGATTTCTTGGTCTCTGTTTCATCATTATCAAGGATCGTTGTTTCCAAGGCGAAAGGATTGACTATGTTGACTTCGGAGGTGACATCCATCTGCTCCAGCTCCTTTTTAGAGAGCTTCTCCACTACTCCTGTACCAAAGGCATCTCCCAAGACATTTACCATTGTTCTGAATCGATCCCTATGGAATAAAACTGTTGTCAGACAAAATATTCTGTTTGTTACTTAGAAGAAAATCATTTTAGTAAAAGTAAGCTACTCTAGCAAATGCAGAGTGTCTTTTGCCCAGTGCAGATTTGGGGTAATTTTGTAATTGAAAGGAAAAAATAATGTACAATAAGAAACAGAATTTTCCCCTCTGTATTTGAAGAAACCTGGAGTCACTTTCATGACAAATCACTTTGTAGAGTGTGCAAAACTGCAAGTCATGTCACTAGTCTGTTACAGCAGTAATCACACTGATGTGAACAGCCTTACAGAGTGTTGTCAGGAACACTTCTCAGGCCCTGAAGCATGCTACACAGCTGGTTCTCTGTGATGAGACTGTTTTTGTTGGGAGAAGACTCTGTGTGGTGCAGCAGAAGAGACTGCATTATGCCTTTTATCTTTCTAACAGTCACTCTCTCAGCCAGAGGAGCACTTAGACCAGTATCTTCAGTATTCTGGCCCAAAGCCTGGAAATGGGAAAGGCTATCTTCTGTTAGCTTCTCACTGTTACAAGGTTGAAGTACAAAGCTGTAATAAGTTTGTCACTTTAAAGAAATACAGTACTTGTGTACTGTTGATTTTTTTTTCCCAACAGAAAGTGACTTGCGAGCCTTAAAAATCTGCACTGTTTGGCAGAGGAGCATCAGAACCGTGCAATATAGCAAAGTTTGAAAATGAGCGTTTTCAAGAAGGGACTGTGGAAGGCCACGCTTCCCTGTTTTAATTTGCAGCTACACAGCCCTGCAAGGGCTCTCTGGCAGAATGAGTTGCTCTGATATATTCACAAATAGAAGCAACTATAAAAGCAATAGTGAAGTGAATCAGCGTGTTTCATATATATATTCTTTTACTACAGCTGCTGAACTCCACTGCTAAAAAGGACCCATGTGTTCTCCATGTGGTAAGAAAATACAAGTTAGGGAAAGGAAGAGAGAGCTGTAAACTAAACTTCTGGTGGGATCAGTGTGACAAGTGGGGAAACCAACCACACTGGAAACTCATCTTTCATAATACTTCTCAAATTTTTTCTATTCCTCATTAAAAACATAGAAGTTCTCCTCAAGCCTATGTAATAAAACCTTGGCAAGTTCAGAATTAACTAGAGGATTGTTAATAAGCCACTTCTAGTGGGTTGCATAATAATACATTTTAGGCAATAAGTACAAAAGGTGAAAGTGTTAATAATCTACATGGCATCACAATGTGCATTCCATCTGCTGAGGTGCAAAATGCACTGGCAATGATCCCTTGTACATGAAATTAATCTTTAATTTGCTTTACACAGCAAGACACCTTAATCTGAAAAACATTTCAATTAGAAACAGCTTGCATTCTTTGTCTGTTTCATGGTGGAACAGGTAGTCCCATGTATTTTTGTTGTGTCTAAGAATCAGGTAAATTGAGGACTTTCAAAGCAGAGACAAGTTCAGATCTGTAAAATCATGTGAGAAATAAGGAATTAACCATTCTTTTTCTCTCTCACTCCCATAAAAGAATTGGAGGGCATCAAATGAAATTATTAGGACATAGATTAAAACAAAATATCTTTCTGTACAACACCTTGTTCAGTTGTAGAATTCCTTTCTATAGGACTTGTGGAAATCTGAAAGTTTATATGCATCCCAAAAGCAATGAGGCATTTATGGAAGAAGAAACCTATTGAGAACTGTTAAAAACAAAAACCACCTCTTCCTCAGGAACTCTGTGAGCTGCAGTTTGCAGGAGGGTAAGACACTACTTTGGGAAAAGAATCAATATACATTTCTTCTGTCCTTCCATGTTTTTAGATATCCTTGCAAATGAGAGTTATGTAATCAAATAAATTATATATTTCTGTGAAACACACACGTTGCTGCCAGAAATCCTTCAAGAAAATGATTAGAGAGGGTAGGGGAGGAACAGGACTCTACCTTGAGTGTAAATATAAGCCTAAGAAAGAGCCATGCAGAGACTATGAAATGATTAGGATCTCTGCATTGATACTGATGAAATATTATCCATGTTCAGTTATGGCAAATTAACAAGACCTTGATGGGAGCACTAAAGCTTGCAAGTTTAGGAGGCAAATCCTGTTACTCTTTCCCAGTGAATCATGGAATAAAACTGAATGCTGACATCATTCTGAAGTCCAGAATACACTCTGTGATTCTTTGGCCTTTTGAAAAAGTAGCAGAGAAACATCTCAGTATACGTTGAACAGAAAAGATTTACAGATTTGTGTTGAAAATGCTTCTCTGAACTGGTTAATGGGACTGAGGGGTTTTGATGCGCTCTGAGGTGAGATGGCTGGGATCAGGATAAGGAATGCTTTCTGAGTTTGTATGTGTGTGCTTGCTGATCAAGGTGCTGGGTCTGTGAAAAACTCTCAGCCATGGCAAAGTAATGCTGGCAGTACAGACTCATGTACAGCCTGCTACGTGTGTATGTGTGGACTCCAAAATCAGCTTTGCTTAGTTCATGTTGTGCTCCACTGCCTCTTCACCGATGTATGAATTTTATGTGCTTTTTGGAAAACAGCTGAGATGTTCTGCTTGTGATTTTGATGAATGGTGTATGAATTTCACATAATACAGTGACAGCTGACATGCCAGAGGCACTCCTTGGTATGCTTATAATTTACTAATGCTGTGGTCACTATTTTAAGGTTTATAGCACCTCTGGATGGGAGGTTATTCACTGCCGTCCCATGCAGTGGGACTTCTCTCAGAATTAAAGCCATTACTGCATTCAACTCTATATTGAACAAGCCTGGCCATAAGTATAATCTTCGGCCAATTCCTGCAACAGTCTTAAATGGTTTTGCTACTTTTTCAGACCCACGTGTTCCCACACCACTTATATAAACATAAAAAAGGCAAGAAAAACAGTTAAAATATCAAGTGCCTTAAACTTACAGAAGCCAGTCAACTGCAATGATCAGAGTAACATCTTCAGCAGGCAGGCCAACGGCAGTCAGTACAATTACCATGGTTACAAGTCCGGCTTGGGGGACGCCTGCAGCCCCAATGCTGGCAGCTGTAGCTGCAACACTAAATGACAAATAAAGCCCAGAAAAGGCATTCAGAATACATGTTGCTCACAGAAACTCTATCTTCTGGCACAAATAGGCTTATTTCACTGCAAGAAAGCAGCCCAAATGTGTATGAATAGTACCTACTCAAAGTCTGGTGACAAGTTTATAGGATAAGTGATGTATAGATACTGCTACAGTTACATTGCAAAATAACATGCAATGCAGGATAAACAAGCAAGATGGATGGATCAAAGGTAGAGGCTGAGTTGGGTTTGCAAGTGTTTGCAGTGGAAGAAAAATGGTAATTTCCAGAACAATACTGTATACCTGCTGCATGTCCTGGCCCATCCCACCTCCTCATCAGGTTGCCTAGGGAAGGCCTTGGACCAAGAAGTGAGAATGTTTCTTTACTTCCTGTGCTATGAATGATAGTTTCGAGTTTTCACAGGATGTCTGAAGTCAATGCACCATTCATTAAAAAACCCACCTCCAACAAAATGCATGTGATGGCTTTAGTCTTACCTAATGGTAATTATTTCGCCAGTATTCAGCTGTAAGTCGTTGAGCTGTGCAATAAATATAGCTGCTACGGCTTCATAAAGAGCGGTGCCATCCATGTTGATGGTAGCTCCAACTGGAAGAACGAACCTGGTAATTCTTTTGTCAATGAAGTTTTTTTCTTCTGCACAACGGAAGGTGACAGGCAAAGTTGCTGAACTAGCACAGAGATAAACACATAAAGTAATTGCAGGCAACAGCATAATATTTCCTTTATCTTTCTTTTTTCTCAGAGCATGATCTGCTCTAAGACTCAAATGGAGATCTAAGGCATGCAGGAAGGCAGCACTATGAAAAAGCAAAGTAACTGTTGTAATCTCTTCTAATTAAGGGAAAAAAACAATAAAGTCTTAGCTATCCTCAAAATTACACAGTAAATCGTCATCATTGACGTCATCTATCTGGACCTGTGCAAAGTCTTTGACACTGTCCCACATGACACCCTTGTCTCTAAATTGGAGAGACATCAATTTGATGGATGGATCACTCTGTGGATAAAGAACTGGCTGGCTGGCCGCACACGGAGTTGTGGTCAATGGCTCAGTGTCCAGCTGGAGACCAATAATGAGTGGTGTCCCTCAGGGATCGGTGTTGGGACCCATCTTAACATCTTTGTTGGTGACATGGACAGTGGGATTGAGTGCGCCCTCAGCAAGTTTGCCAATGACACCAAGCTGTGTGGTTTGGCTGATATGCTGGCAGGAATGAATGCCATCCAGAGGGACCTTGGCACGCTTTGTGAGGTGGGCTGATACCAACCTTATGAAGTTTAATCATGCCAAGTGCAAGGTCCTACACCTGGGTCAGAGCAATTCCAGGCACAGCTACAGGCTGGGCAGAGAAGAGATTCAGAGCAGCCCTGCGGAGAAGGACTTGGGGGTGCTGGTCGATGAGAAAATGAACATGAGACAGCAGTGTGCACCTGCAGCCCAGAAAGCCAACCGTATCCTGGGCTGCATCAAAAGGAGTGTGACCAGCAGGTTGAAGGAGGTGATCCTGCCCCTGTACTTTGCTCTCGTGAGACCTCACTTGGAGTATTGTGTACAGTTCTGATGTTCTCAACATAAAAGGGACACAGAACTGTTAGAACAAGTCCAGAGGAGGGCCACAAGGATGATCAGGGGACTGGAGCACCTCCTGTATGAAGACAGGCTGAGAAAGTTGGGGCTGTTCAACCTGGAGAAGAGAAGGCTGCATGGAGACCTCATAGCAGCCTTCCAGTATCGGAAGGGGGCCTACAAGAATGCTGGGGAGGGACTGCTCATTAGGAACTGCAGTGATAGGACAAGGGGTTATGGGTTCAATAAAGGAGTTTTGGGTTGGATATAAGGAAGAAGTTCTTTACTGTTAAGGGTGGTGAGGCACTGGAATGGGTTGTCCAGGGAAGCTGTGAATGCTCAATCCCTGGCAGTGTTTGAGGTCAGGCTGGACAGAGCCTTGGGTGGCATGGTTTAGTATGAGGTGCCCTATCTACGGCAGGGGGGTTGGAACTTGATGATGTTAAGGTTCTTTCCAACCCGAACTATTCTATGATTCTATGATGTGTGTAGTCACAGAAACAGGGCAAAGGCTTAAAATGTAGTGTCTAATGAACCGTCTCCCCTTAAGAGAAGCTGGTGTAAGGCCAGAGCAATCTATAGTGCCCCTTTGGGTACTACAGAAATAATGATGAAGCTTCCAGGGCACTGAGAACTGTCCAGGTGAAATCAGGGTATGTAACAAAGTAGCAGTAAAATCAGAGCACAAGCAAAGCAATTACTACTAAGAACATCACAGAAAACGAATGTTTGTTTACCTGGAAGAAATCATGAGGGCTGTCAGAAGTGCCTGAGCCATCCCCATGGCAAATCGAAAAGGATTCTTCCGCACTATTATGAAATAGATTAGTGGCAGAATTATAATGGAATGGATCGCAAGTCTGCAAAATAAAATGGACGAGTGAAATAAATGGATCTATTTCATTGCCTTGTAATAACAGGTATCTGAGTTCTGCCCTCAAGTACACTTATGAAACTCTGCATTCAAAATCTAAAGAGTATACCATCTGGAAGAAATGCAGACTAATACTGTCTAAACTTTATTTTGGAAGGGAGAAAGGTTATTAATTGTCTTTCTCTCCAAAAGAAAACAAGAATTAACTAATATATTATTAAAAATAATTTTAAACTGATGAATATGAGAAAACTGAAGTAATAAATAATATTTGAACTCGTATGCAGAGTGTGATTTGAATGCTAAACCACTCCACTCTCTTACCAAATCCTTACAATACAGACCAGAGACAAATCAGAAAAATAAACCTAATTATCTTTTAAAAATTATCTGCCTTTATTATAGAATATGCTTGGAATTAAAGGCTCCCAGTCATGGGCAGATGAAGTCCACATCTTTCTACAGAAACTTCAAACATGATCCTATAACAAATGTCCACACTTGCTTTGTGGAAAACATTGTACACTTAAGCCTGTAATTAAAACGTGGTGAGGTATTTCAGACTGTACAATTGAGATATGTCTAGTCTCACTGTCTTTCACATTCTAAGTTGCTGAAATACTGTCTTTTGCAACTATTAATTTTTAAACTTCAGTATGTTGACACGCAAAAGATCAAACTGTCCTCTTGACTTTGGCTGCTCAGGTGTATTTGCCTGGATATTCGGGTGGGCTTTAGGGACAAATTCATCCTTCAACTTGTTCACTGATTTTGAACTTCGTGCATTAATCCTGATTGCTTATTAGTGCAGAATTTTGTGGGCATTAGATTAGAGGTAAACAGTCTGCTGGGAGCATGAGATGTCATCAGAAGATGTCCTTGTAAAGACATCCTCACAAGATGTTCTTGTGACCGTTACTATGTTGTAATAGTGTTTTATGATTTCAGAACACCTGATAAGGACAGTGATAAATCATGGTACCATATGTTCTATCCAAAATAGGTAATTAAGAGAGCAGTAGCTACAATATAGAAACCCACAAGAGCACCAAAACCCACCTAAAATGTTAACTCTTTGTTTCCCTGGAAAAAATATATTTTTTAAAGCCACAGGCATTAGAATGTTCATTCTGTATGTGAACAAACAATTTATTTAGTGGAATGTAAATAACAGCATGCAACATATATTGCTGAAAATTTGTAAAGAACTCTAGAAAGAAACCTAAGAATTTATACAATGGTGCCCAAGAACAAATGGAATTGTGCAGAACATACAGAAAACTATATAAAGTGGTATGGGTGTTGTTGGGTGTCTTAAGAGAATGTTGATGACAGTAAACATTTTGTTTACATCAAGAAGCATACTGACTCCCTAATAGCTATTCTGAAAAATTTAGAGCTGTGCTTTGTTAGTGGCAGCACAAACGTGACATTGTCCAAAATAAAGTATTTGTGCATATCTGGTTTGCTACTACTGATTTTCATGAAACAAATTCAAATTATTATTTTCATGCATGAAATGCAACTCACAGCAAGCAGCAAAAAATTTAATAACAAAAATCATAATCAGCAACTGAAAAGAAAAATTCTGTTATGGTTTAGTTGTAAGATAGGAAGAACCTTCTTCCTCAGAATTCCAAAATGGCAGAATCCCAAAATTATACATTCAGAGATGCAGCTGCCTTGATGCTTTCAGAAGAGACACAGGCACAGGCAGGAGAGAGTCTGACTGCTGCAGGTTCCTTTTTTTTTTAATTCCACCTCAGACTGAGAGTCCTGACACTTGTATCATGCCTCCTTGTTGTGGTTTAAGCTGGTAACTCAGAACCACTCAGCCACTCGCTCACTCCCCACTTCTTCCCACCTGCTCCCAGAGGCAGGAGGAGGAGAATTAAAAGAATGAACTCCCACGGGTTGAGATAAGAACAGTCCAGTAACTAAGGTATAACACAACACCAGTACTGCTGCCACCAATAATCATAATGATAAGGGGAATAACAAGGGAAGAGAATATAAAACTAAAAGGGGAAAAGGAGAAGAAAGCAATAAACACCAGTGATGTTTATTGACACAATTGCTCATCACCTGCCCACCGATACTCAGTCCAACCCAAGCAGCAATCTACTCCTGCTGGGTAACTCCCCTCAGTTTATATACTGGGCACGATGTGCTGTGGTATAGAATACCCCTTTGGCTAGGTTGGGTCAGGTGTCCTGTCTCTGCTTCCTCCCAGCTTCTTGTGCCCCTCCTCACTGGCAGAACATGAGACTGAAAAGTCCTTGATCAGAGTAAGCATTACTTAGCAACAACTAAAAACATCGGTGTGTTTGCAGCATTGCTCTCAGACTAAAGTTGAAAACACAGCACTGCACCAGCTACCAAGGAGGAAAACAACTGTACAGCTGAACCCAGGACACTCCTACTTTACTTTTCCTCCTCTGTGACCGCTAACCTGTCCTCATCATGACACTGCAACCCTTAAAAGTGAGAGGTTGAAGATATTTAGTGGCCAGCTGGGGCAAAGGCACTGGGAGAAGTCTCACGATGGCCTGAATAAGACATAAGGACTGAGATGTGTTGCAGACAGTGGTTGGTGAGAGCCGGTAGGGCTGAAAATGTAAAAGGTCATGAATAATAAAGGTGGGAAGAAGTATGCTAGAAGACGAGATGGAGAGGGAAGTTAAAGGAAAAGAAGGGTAAGACACACCAGCCCTCAAGCTCTCACACATTTTTCTTGACGGGGAATACACCAATATGTTTAAAATAACCTGTAATTCTCAGGATGAAGTTTAAAGGGAGAGTGAAAGACAGCTACAGAAGACACTGATGAACAGAACACACTGCAAACAGACAAGGTCAAGCAAATATGGATGAAAACCAAAAAGATGGTGGGGACAGCAGTGTTTAAGAAACAAAAACAAAGAAAGAGCACTCCTCCGGTTTGCCAAGAGGTGAGAAAAAGGGTATTCTTGCTGGCTGGAAAATGTAGAAGCACTTTTTCTCTGAAGCCTATAGCCTTGACTGTACACTGTCATCTTTGTCCCTGTGATGTAATTACAACATGCTCTGCTGATGGTCAGTTTTGCAGATAATGTTCTGCTGTTTAGCCCTTCTCCACAACACCTTGAGCATCACTCACTGTAGGCCAGCCCATAGGAGGCAGAAAGGCTGAGGAGATCTATCATAGTACCCATTAGGTACTACATAGTACCCATTAGGGAAAACTGTGGCATGTGCAAGAGAGTTTGGGGAAACAGAGACTTTTTCCTTTTCAAGGATGTAAAAACAGGCACCCTTACAATACACAATCTTTTTGATGGTACCTGGGAACCTATTGAAATTGTTGTGCCTGTCAAGCCCATAGTTACCAGGTAAATGGAAGACTCTGCGTGGTGGTAGTTTACTCTACAAACTACTCTGGAGAACGCACTGTGCCTTCACACACACTTCTTAAGGAAGATACACCCTGTCACAGTACAAATAGTTACCAGTATAACAGGTAAACAGTCATAAAACTTGCTATCAGATCTAAAACTGTAAAACTTGCTATCTCTAACTGAAGTCAAAGGACAGTAATAATCCATCCAACACACTCCTCTAAAGTAACTGGAGTCAGTAACACAGAAAACCTGCAGAGGTGATACACTGCCATTCTATAAATGAGTTATACCTAACTTGTGGTCATGGTCTCATTTATAATCTATATAGAAAATATTAATCTCTTGTTTTACAGTCTCTTGGTAAACATAAACTTTTACATTTAAAAAAAAGTTATTTCTTTTCAAATAGATAATGAAAACTCACAAAAACTGCTTCATGCATTAGACAAACATTACCTGCCTTCATTTCTGCATCATTTTGAAAAAGTCATGATTCAGTGCTATTTTTGGAGATGTAATTTTTACTTAGAAAGTCATTTTATCTCAAATTGTTTTTGAAAAGCTAGTCCAAACATACTAGCTTATGTATAAAACAAAAGAACTTTGAAATAAACATGATTAGCTAGCAAAGATTAATTCAAAAAAAAAAAAAAAACCCACCAAAAAACCTTCTTGACAATAGAGAAGTTTGCTTATAAGACTAATACATTAGTCTTAGCACTTGGTTGTCAGGCGGCATTTGAATGATGTTTGAAGAATAGCATGCATATGCATAAAGTGTGGGGAAGGAAGCTCTTGAGCAACTCTGGATCTACCCTCTAGATAAAACATGAATAAATCCTTAGCATACTTAAGGAATTATGTAAGTGTATGCTAAGGCAATGAACCAAGGCTGCCTAGAAATTATGCTTCACTGAATTGGAAATAGAAATTTAAATGCATTTAAGTCATTGGGACTGTAATAGCCGTTTATCTATCAAACATGTTCTTCGTATGATAGTCTTCAGGGATACATAATGATCACAGAATAACAACCTGTATCACCTGGAGCAGCTAAGTTGCCCCTTCTAAGGTTCCGCATCTGCAAGGCACCACATTGTGCACTGTCCTCTACCTCAGACTATTCTACACAGCCAAGGTTCTAGAAAAATAATAGAAAAAATGTTTTGATGCTTGGCTACGTTACTCAGACAGCAACTGCTGGTTTTGCAGCTTCATCAGCTAGCTCTGCCTAACAAACAGTGCAATGTCCAGGGTTTATTTTCATGTTAGATACCTGCTCTGCACTGAGGTAGGATCAGTTTCCTCTTTGGCATCATTTGCTGTGAACTGTACTTACTATGCATTTGTATCGTGCAGTAGAGATGGGTCTATGCTGATACACCTTCAGCTCACAGGTCCCATGCAGGTTCCCAACTTAATCCAGATATTTGTGTATTTTCAATAGGCTGGTAACCCCCAATAGCCATAATTCACAACCTCACCCTTTTTCAACTTCTATTATCTAAAAGAAGCATTACTCCTCTACTATTCTCAAAAATACAGGACCAACTAAGAAGATGAAGCACTGAAACAATGAATGCAAGAACAGCCTTTACTTCTTTTTTTTTTTCCCCAAGAATGCAAAGCAGTGACTTTAAAAAAAACCCTGCATTCAGCAAAACCTGCATTCACAACATCCTCACATAATTTTCACTGATGAGAACTTTTGCCTCTGACCTAGAAGAAGCTGGGTGTTGTGGATAACTGAGTTGTAATCAAGCTGTAAAGACTGCACACATAAAATTTCATCTTTAAGAAATGACATACCCACTCAGTACTGTAGCCATATAAAGACCCAGTTTAAGAAAGATTTCCCAGTCCTGAACTTCTATAATCTTCCCAGCAACTAAAAACATTATACCAATTGGCATATACCTAGAAAGCAAAAAAAAAGTAATTAAAAATGCATTCTCAGAAATATTGTGTGCTCACCAATGAATAATTTCTTGTGCAGTGTGACATTTTACAACACACGGAAGATTCTTTTTCTATTCTATTACCCACCTAAAGATATTTTTTTTTTGTATTCTATTGTGCAACTGACTTTATTCACTTGCAGCAGGACTTCAACAGACATCATGAAAAAAGATTAGAAAATCAGAGTAAGTGTAACGCTATGCATCTTTTAACAAGTACTATATGAGCTGGTGTCACAGAATACACAGAAGTGTGGGCTTTGCACTACCACAGCAAATGTTTATGCACAGCCATAAGCTTACTTGGAAATGGAAGTTTGTATGGCTGAGATCACTATCTGTGTATTCTGCAATCACACACAGATGGAAAGGTCTCCTGTGCTTACAGCAGGGGAGATATAAATGTCACTTAACACATAATAAGAGTGATTTTAGTATGCTGGGATAGTACCATCATCAGTGTGTTGCTTGACTGGAGGGGTCCCTATACCCTAGTCAATCTACACAACGCCATGCCTTACAGACATCAACAGCTACATGGCCTACTGAAAATTCAAGGCAAAAATCAGGGCTTATGCTATCACCAGCTCCACTGCATTCCTTTTGGTACCATAGAGCAGCTGTCACAGAGACAATTGCCACTTCAGAGCTTTGAGTAGTATGAATAAATTTGTGACTATATAAAAGTTATCTGTTTTAAAATAGAAACAAAATGTGTATGTGCTATCTCACAAATAAAACAGTACCTTGACCCTGTGCAAAGCAGGGCCTAGATCCTTCTGAGCCCTAAATTTAGTGAAAGTAGAATTAATTCTTCATATTGCCAGCATCAAACTTCACCTTATCCAAGACAACACCTCCCACATCTGTAGAAACAGGAATTCTGCAGTCACAGCTTCAGGCACGTGCATGACAATGCACAGGTCAGCTTACAGGTAGGTTCCTGTATTTGTGGCATGTGCTAACTCTCAGGGCTTGTTAGTGGTAATTTGCCGCAGAGTAAGGCAGCCTATTTCACAGGGCTGTAATTCAGCTGAGGACTGAAACAGCTGCCTAGCACAGGACTTTAAGTTGAAGGAATTAATTTACTTGTCTTTAAGGGCAGCAAAAAGTGTGCAATTAAACCCTGTACAGTTTTACTGTGTTACAGGCACCTCAGTGTGCTGGGGTGGAAGAAAAATCCATGGAAGGGCCAGATATGGTTAAGTTACTGTTTGTGTAAAACACGTGGGTATGGGTAGAGTATTGTAATAAACGGCACAAGGCACTCCACATGTACAGTCAAGCTCTGGAAAGGATTGTGTATGCTTATAGTCCTGACCCTGTAATTGTGATCTGCATGGACAAAAGCTCTGTGAATAGCTGTGAAGTCCAACCAATGCTATCAGATGAGTTTCTACATTTTCTAATTATTTTTCCTAAGAATATTATGAGAGAATATTGTGAGAATGTTGTCCCCCAAAACCCACTAGCAACAAGTAAATGATAATAGGTTGTGTTTTACATACCATTTTGGATTTTGTTCTGTGCTGTGGCTTGCATATTAATTCGTATTTCTAAAGGAACTTAGCCCTAAGGACAGCTCTCCTGGGAACATAATGGCTATCAGGTAATAGTGTTCAAGACAGAGAAAGGCATGTGAGTGGTAATGCTTCTGCACTCCTCAAATCACTAATGCAGTTGTACTGGTTTGATATAAACCTCTGGCAAGAATATCTGAAAAACTCATATTTCTGGTATACCAATAAGAACTGTGTCTTTAGTATATAGTAAGTAGAAGCCATGTCCCCTCAAAAGAATCAAATTCTGTAGAAAGATAACTTTTTACCAGCCTTTCTGTTAAAGATATTTGCTGTAAAACACTATGCAAAAGCAGACATGCAAGCATGAGTCCGCTCCTACCTCTTCAACGACAAAAACCCATTCAAAGAAATAGTTAGAAAATGCCAGTATGTCTTTGGACTTACCACATAATTATCTCAACTATTCTCATTGTAGCTTCATTCAGTGCATTGAAAAAATCCACCAGCACTTGTCCTTTCTCTCCCATTTTTCCAATAACCATTCCAAAAACAAGACAAAACACGATCAACCCCAGCACATTGATGCCGTTGGAATACATGCCCACGAGTTTGTATTCTTGGGTTTTGTTCTACAGATTAGATTAAAGAGAAAAAAGTTACTAGCTGAAAATACTGAATTTAAAGAGATCTAAAATTAAAACACATTTAGATCTTCCCTTGAAAAGACACAGAGCTCTTTCCCAGTGACTCTGTTCCCTTTCTGGCAATGCCAAGCAGGCATGTTCAAGAATGAAGGTAGAACTAAATTGGCTTTGAAAGCTTTGTATTTTAAAGTTATGTGAGGATTTGACCAAACCCTAGCAGGGGTAAAGCATCCCTTAATTTATGTGCCCTTCCTATAGACTGGCAACATCTAGTTATCCACAGATATGGCTTCAATATACTCAAGACTTGGTCCTGACTGTGGAGAACAAAACACAGCTGATGTGGAATCCTTGTGGTTATTTCTGAAAAACTGGAGGGTTTGTGTCTGCATTTAAGATAGAGTCCATTGTGTAAGAACTAAGACAATGGTATCCAATTTTGCCTCATTTAAAATCTATTGTTCAGCTGAAATCAGTGAAATTACATAGTTTAAAGCAGAATTGGATACACGTAACGTAAAAATCCTACTAAATAAGTAGGTACTCACAACACTCCTCTGCGTTTGTGCTGTATGAACATATGAAGGAAATAGTGCAATTCTTCACAACATTCTGCCTCAGGATTTAAGTCATGTCTTTTCATATAGCCCATGTTTGCATGAGATGAAGTTTTGAAGGAGCATAATAAAATGCATATTGATTTGGTTCATAGTTCTGTGTTCATAATCCATTGAATTCCTTTCTCTCTCTCCTGTGGTATAAGTCTAGGCTTTATAAACAAACAAGACTCATAAGCTTTCCATATGTCTAATCAGAGGCTTGTTAAACCTCCTCTTTTGTATTTTCTTTTTTTTTGGCAGTGTAACAAACTATTATTTAACAAATGCCTTCCATTGTTTTGCTTTCCATTAAAAGAAATGTATTATCATTTTTCATTTCTTTCTTTCTGCAGTGCTTACAGTTATGCTGCAGCATCTCATGGATATACATCTAGCCTTTCCACACTGACTGTTGTGTTTAATTTCTCAGCAAATTGGCAATTCATTAGCATACACATTTAATGGAGTATATGAATGTATTATTTGCTCACATTATCTCTTATCTTTGGACTGCTTAATTACCAGTGGAGTCCTCTGGTGTTCTTAAACCCTACTTGAAGATCCTCATAATTACCTCTTGTATTTACTTCCTAAGTTTTGAGCCCTTCATAAAATCTATGTACCATTTCCTTCTTTTTCTTAATCACTAGCCACATGAACTAAGTCAAATTTATTCTACATTCTTTGTCCCTGCTTCATATATTATGAGGGAATACAACAACCAAGGTCTCACCTTTGAATCCTCTGCTGTCGTAGCAGTTGTAACAGGTTGTTGTGTCAATGCAGAGCTGTTTTTATCCACATCAGCTGTAGCTTCAACTTTTTCACGTTTAGTTTTATACTGTAAAAGTTTTCCAAAAAAGGGAAGAATTTATTTAGAAACATGAGGAAACTGAAGAATGGACAAAGGCATAGCCTTTGCCCAGTAAAAATAAGGGAAAAATGAACCAGTCTAACTTGAAGGTAGCAAACATAAAGACATTAATTCCCAATTTGTGTGAACCATCACGGTTCTGTACTTCAGAAAGACATTAATTCCCAATTCATGTGACCCATCATGGTTCTGTACTTCAGATGCTGTATATCAAACAAGTGATTCATAGATAATATGCTATGAATTCTGTTTCCCAGGCTCTCAGGTTCCCTATGGACCTGATGCAGTCTTGTGGGGGATGAGATACATACACCTCCTGACAATGACAAGGGGACTTTTTGCTGGGACAGTCTGGAGAGAATTGCTGTCAGCCACACCAGTAGAGGTTCACAGAGCAGAAGCACCTGATACAGCCAGAACCCTTAGTAATGTGCTTAGTGTAACTAATGCCATTACCTAAGATGAACAGCCATTCTATGTAGCTGAGCTGGTCACCTCTTAGTCCCCTTTCCCCTGAAGGTCCTGTGCACCAAGTAGACCAGCGTCAAGATTACTGGACACCAGGATAATTATTCCCCTCCTTACTGGCCTTGAAGGCCCAAGTGCCTGGACAGGTTGTGACCCTGCTATAGAACAGGGAAGTGCCACAGCACATAGAGCGCTGTCTGTAAAACCAAGCAGTTAAGGGGGAACTTGGACCAGAGCGGCTGCTGGATGGTGAGACCAGGACCTGCCAGTGGCCAGGGGCACAACCACCATCATGTGCTTCTTCTGAAGACTGAGTGACTGACTTGTACTCTTATTGTGATTATTATGTTGATACAGCAAACCACGTATTGAGATCTGACCTAATCTGCAGAGAGTCCATGTGACACGAAACTTAAGCTAAGTGGTGCTATTATAAAACTGTATTACACTGATTATGCTTATAGAAATCCCATGCCACCTGATTATAAATTTTGTGTTGTACTGATCATAATATCCTGTTAAGAAAATAAAGCTTTAATTGTCACTAAAATTCAGTGTCATCATCATACTGCCATGGGCCCCTAAAAGAACCTGTCTGTCACCTTAGTTTTGAGTGACAGTAATTAATATGAGAAAAACTACACAAAAAAGTTTTATAAACTGGAAATACATTCAGTGCTCTGCACAGCTGGATAGTTACCATAATTTCCTGGGAAAGGTTAACTACCTCACTTATAAACCTCAGCTAAACTGGTAGGCAGCTGAAGGGGCAAGCAAAAAAGGTAAGCAGAGAACATCACAAAAAACAGTTCATGTATTTACGGATAAAGATGACTGAATCGGAAGTCTAATAATCTATATATAGACAGCATCTTCCTCTTTTATCTTGCAAATTGCACTTTTCCTGAAAGATGCCTCAAATAGACTACCACCTGGCTGCCTCTTCCTTAAGACAGATCATCAGGTCAGGCAATGGATATTAGATGGCAGACACAATGGGGTGAGGACTAAGTGATTCGGACTTCATCAGATACTGAGGAGTTTTTAAGAACAAAGAAACAGACCCTCATGACATGGTTCTTCTAACTCTGCCTGTCCCAAAAGGAAAAATCTTGTCTAATCACTGATTGGCTTTTGCACCCAGCTCCTAAACACTGTCTTTTTGCAAGGGATAATTAAGGATGTAATAATTGGCAACAAAGTGTTTATCATAATGGAAATGAAACAAAGATGCCTTAAAAATGGTCTTTTTACGGGAGATTAAGATACCCCTGGACTTCTCAGAAATGCCTGTTACCTGACATAATTTTGGGGGACATAAAAGAAAAATAACTTGTAGTTAACAAGGAAAACTACAATAGCAAAAAGGAACGTTCAAACTTACCTGTTGAAAACAGGCCTGGACAAGGTTTTCTGGGAACATATTCCTGTAAAAAAGTAGAGGTACTTCAACACTATATCATACTAAGAAAACATTGCTTATATAAACAAAATGATAAAATCTGCTGTTTGAAAAACAGATCAGGTTGCATTTCTTTATCCAGAAAGCAGTGGATTCAGCAACATGAGATATGAAGTCCAGGAAGTTTAGGACTCCCAGTGATTTGTTGACTGTTTTCCTACTATTGAATTTTTGAGTTCATCTTTCAGTGTTAGACATTTATGTTGGTGAATTACTAAACTTACTGGTTTTGTTATTTTATTTTTTTTCCCTGCTGCATCATCTCCATCATTTCCATGAACAATACAGGACACACCATTTTTATAGGATTTATCAAATAGAGGCAGAAAATAAATAGTAACTCTTATAAATGCTGTGCTGGAAGAATCAGTATTTGGTGACCTCTATTGTAGTTTTGAATTTAGAAATTAATCTTGGCTGATGGAGGATTCCCATGTATTATTCCAGGGTTAAGAACCATTTTTTGCACACTGAAAAATTAGGAAATTAGATCAAAAGCAGTGCAACCCAGTTGTGTGTTTCCTTTCCAACTGCCAATTTAAGATTCAAATGACTGCAGAAAAAAGCATTAATTTGGTATTTACTGGATAATCAGTCCAGTGTGGAAAAAGGCAGTTTGCATATTGAAACAGAAGTCTTTATCCTTCTTCCAGACCTTTCACAAACTCCTGCCTTTATTTTTCAAGTTTTTAAAGAAAATACTCCTCAAGGCAAGGTTACTTTGTACAGGCCTGCAATTTTCCTTTATATTACAAGACTGTCCAGATTCGGTCCTGATATGTAGGAAAAGTAACTATTAATTTCTTTGAAAGAGAATTTCAGATTTCAAACTCCTAATTTACATTCTTAAATTTGCTTATAAGAAGTTGAACTACAAACTTTAGCAAAACCTCAAACTACTCTGAATTCCAGTTCACACTGCTTTTTAATACATTAACACATTTTGTGCATGGAACTACATGAGCCCTGTGAATACGTGTGGAAATGTTCATGTAGAAGTTACTGGTAATAGACCAATTAGGTTTATAATGCAGCTATTTGCACAGTTCTCACTGATTCCTGGGCAAGTGACCATGAGGCATAAAATGAGCTTGCCAAGGAGATGCCATTCTAGTAATACACAGGCAGAAGGGGACAGATAAATTAAGTAAAAATTCTACAAAAGGGAATGAGTGGGTTAGAACAGTGACACAGATCAGTGACCAATTGCAGCTGGAGAAAAAAAATAATCCACAAGACATTTTTGCGGGAACTACTCAGCCACTACTGGAAATGCAAGCCTTTTTCGCTATTTTTTTCTGATTTCTAAATTCAAAACACAGTAGTTCAGAAAACCCACCCAAGTCTTCTGCAGACTTTTATAGGGGTTTCCTTCTGACCACTTCAAGTATCTACAATGTTCCAGGATGCAAATGGGAAAAGACTCATCATAAGACTGCCACAGATACTGGTGATGCAGCCAATTTGTTGAATGTACAACCACAAGAAACCTTTGCATACTGCATCTGTTACTCTATATCCTGCCTTGAGGAGCAGAAAAAGAGCACTGCAATTTCAGGTGGTTGTCTATGCTGGATGACACAGAAGCTGTCAGTCAGTAACTCATCAATCATTCAATCTTTGCTGGGTATTTTTTTCATAATAGGTAAATCTTGCGTATCGGTTTCTACAAAGGAGGGTATTTTTGTTGTTACTGGTTTGTTAACCAAAGTCTACAGCGTAAATAAAATTTTTGTTAGCAAATCGATTTGAATATGCTCCAAAATGTCTGGCCTGTTGAAATGCAAGATATTCTGTATTCATCCAAACAACATTAGAAAGCATTTTTATTACACATCACAACTTTATTTGTATTGTTGGGACTTCTGCAACAAGGGCATGGAAACTTATAAAAGAATACCTCACCTGATCAGATCCAGCATGGCATCGACAGTACTGACTTCTGGGGTACTGCCCACTCTGTCAATCTCATTTGCTTTTTGAGGCATTCCAGGTTTAATGGCCACAACTAAGACAATCCCTGCAGAAGGAGAACCATAAGAAAAGCTCACAGTGCAAGCAGAAGCAGTGGTGAACCATGCTTCAGTGTATTCTGGGTAGCTAAATTCTTAATGAGTTAAATGTGCTATGCTTTCCCTGGATGCAGGGATGCTCAGAAAAGGGAAATCTACAGTGGGCTCCAACACAGGAGCTACTTATAGCCTTGACTCTGGACATGGGTACTCTAGCTTTGGGTTTGCGTGTATGTCACTAAATCACTGCTGCTTACCAAGAAAGTAAATTTACTTCAGCTGGGCTTCAGCTGAAGTGGTCTGCAACTTCTGCACGGTGAAATTTCAAATTGCCATTTACCTTCTCCCTTTTGCAGTTTTTCCTGTTAGTAACTTTCAGATATGAATACAAGTGTGTTGACCTGTGATCCCAATGTACAACAGATGTTTTGGTAAAGTTAATTAGCAATAAAGTTACGTAAAAGAACTGGCTTCCGCAACAGACTGAAATAAAATATTACAGGGAAGAAACACTAGGCTTAATCTTATGAATACTGAAATCAGTGACAATTTTTCCATTTACTTAGTGACTTCATTTTAGGCATTTTTGCTATTAAATGAATAGCAAAAAACCCCAGGCCTTTCCAAATGTATGTTATTTAATTCCCCCCCCCCAAACAAACAAATCTAAAGCAAATGAAACTACTAAATCTCAGCATAGGAGAAAGAGGCATTTGAAGGACCCTTCAACCAGACAGGAAGGAGGCCTTCTAATGACAGTTGTGAATAAAAGGAGAACTGAAATTGTGTAACTCTGAACAGTGAAGCAAATAATATCAGAGTATCACAGAATAATTTAGAATAACAGGGACCTCTGGAGATTATCTGGTTTAACCCCTTTCTTAGGAGTTTCTTTGTGTAAGGCTAATTTTAAAGTTAGTCTTTAATTAATTTTAGTCTAATTACTTTTAGCCTAATTAATGTTAGTCTTTATTAATTTTCTTCACTACATATTCACAGAAAATTCCCAGACAGATGAGACAGCCTAAATGGTACAACCACAGTGATCTATTCCGCTCAATAATGCAACCTCTAAAAATTAATCTGGCCTCATATGTCTGTATATGATTCTTTTTCTATTGTTAAATATTGCTTTGCCTTACAAGTAGGCCACATACGATGTACATTTTGTCCTTCAAATAAATACACATTTCTTTTTAGTGGGTGATATCTAGGCACAGTATCCACTCAGGCTCAACAAAATATGAAGATAAGGCACAAACTACGTGACAGGCAACAGAGAAGGGTCTAATTTTACTTCTTGTTTAGGAAGGTAGGCTGAAATGTTTGCTTAATCATATATGGAAGATTTTAATGTTGCTTATAGAGAACGAACTTCCTGCAAGAGGAGATGTGGACTTCATAGAACTATGAATGGAGCCTGACAGTGCAAGAAGTGACAAAAACCTTTTAGGAAGGAAATGAGATGACAAGGGAAGCAGTATTTTCTGTTGTTCTTTCAGATGAGACATATTATACACTTTTGGATCTGAGAACCACTGACAATCTATTATTTTGATACTGGGGAAATCACTTTGTAATTAAGGCTGGCCTTTGATGTTCATTCAGCTTTCCCACTGCTGTCCCTGTTTACCTAAGCAGACAATTCCTAATTTTCCTTGAGCTGAAATGTATGGCAAAATTTCCTGTGGCTTCATTCTGCATATGAATACAGCCAAAGTGTGAACAGAGGCACTAACTTCTCCCTGTACCTGGCTACAAGCATGACAAGATGTTTGGTATGATTCCTGTCTCTTCTCCTCATCCTGTCTTGGGAAATCAGTAATGTCACAGTACTGCATAACTGCAGTTAGGCAATGCTGAATATTTTAATGAGGATTTTAAAAGTTACAGTATCACAGAGTACCTAGTATTACAGCAATGATTGTAGTGCAGAAATAATAGATGAGCGCTCGCAAACCAATCTTCCCAGAAACACTGGAATCCAAAGCAGCAACACCTGCAAAAAGAACCACAAAAACAAAGCACTAAAATACAGTCCTAGGTGAAGCCTGCTTTTTTTTTTTTTGTAAAACCAATTATTTACTGTCTCTTATTTCTATGAAGGATTTTTTTTCTTTATTCAAGATATTTCTAAATACCTAATTGCCACTTGCACTTCTGAAAAATGTCTGTAGTGGACCAACATATTTGCTTCTGCTTCATCACAGAAATCAAGTTCCCCAGGAATTTTCTAGGAAAAATATATACGAGCTTTTCTGATTTCCTGATGTCATCACAAATTAGACTTCTTTGGTTTATGAATATATGTTGCAATTTATTTCCATATTCACTTAAACAATAGGTTCACTTTCTTCAGATCTGTAATATTTTGGCTTTAAAACTAAAAGTCATGCAAAGGGAGCTGCTCAGGACTGTTACACCAGGTTTGCCAAAGGCACATACAGACAAGTAAGGCTTATTCCTGGTGGGCTCACCTTCATTAAGATGTTTAATTGGGTTTTTTTGCCTAAAGCTTTTCTGAAATCTGGGATGTTTCCACTCCTCTACCTGTATCTGTCATTGTGAGGAGCTGAGGGCAGGTTTTGTTAATAAAGGTGGGGAAGTGCTAAGGTGGGTGTTATACTGAGGTCAGCTTAACTTCTGGCAACAGGATTACATCAAACTGCTGCTGAAGTATTTAATTGTTTAACAGATTTACAGATATAGCTGCACACATACAATTCAGTAACGAGAATAAAATTAGCATTGTGACTGTAAAAGTTTACTGTCTATAACCACACAAGTTAATAATTCACTGCTATCTCTTTATTATACATTTGTGATGGACTTATCATTTTACGATTATTGAGTCAGGTTATCAAAGACTGGACAGATTCTTTTGTACAGAGAAGCAAAATTACCATGAGGATATTCAACCTCAAAGAAGCACAGTTTTATAGGGGGAAGAAAAAGAAAAAAAAAGTTTCCAAAAACTAAGGAAGAAAAATCAAAATGTCTTTTAAAAGTAAGTTACACAAACGTAACTTACTCGTCTCTGAGCTTCAACATGTGTTGATGTCTCTTTCAGAAGGTGTATTAACAGCAGTAACAACTTCGTCTATGGCATTTATATAAGCCTTACTAGTTCTGTTAATTGTTACTCAAAATATAAACAGTACTGGGAGGGGAGAATGAAGGTTATTCTGTTTCATCATCTATTTGATAACTTTGGGATCTTCCATGGGACAGCATATCATCAGACTGAGTACAGAAGAACTACATATACATGCAGAAATCATGATGTAAAGACTATCTCATTTGTACACCAAATAAGGATAATAAAAGAACTACTACTACGGCAAGGGAATACAGACCAGTGCACAGAAAAAAACAATGCCACAGAAAAAAAACAGCTATTACAGGAGGCTGTCAGCACTGAGGATATTGTTTGAGGCACAAACAACAGAATAGACACAGAATCTGGGCCATCGTGTTTATTTCTCACCTTGGGAACTGGGAAAAAAAAAGTAGAAAGGAAGACTTTCACACTGCCATGGGCTCAGCTATGGAAATTATGGCAGTAGGAACTCTTGAGAATGGACAGTAATAAGTAATGTGTTCTGCAGAAAATACAAAAGCTGGTTTCAAGGCTGTCAGTATTGAAACTTCTGCACCTGATATTTTAACTTAGAAGACTCTACATCTTTTAAAAGAGAGGAAACTGGTATTGGCAGTTCCATCTCTTAATGAAAAGTCTGTAAAACTAGAAATCATGTAATTTTATTCTAAAACTTGTACTGACTGTCAAGAGGAGTTGGACAGACAGTGGAGGTACGATCTTTTCAAGGTTTGAAGTGCTTCATAAAGCTTGCCTGAAGATTTTTTTTTGCTTGACAGTCTTGTTGACTCAGCCAAGAACCTAATAATCATGCAAAGTTATTTCCCTAGGGTATTCAGTTATAAAGATTCCACAATTAGTATGATACAAAGTTTATGTGAAGCCATTCTTCTAGCTCCAAATTAAATCCCTTTGCAAACAGTTATGCTCACTGGAGTTACAGAGGCATAACTAAGGGAAAACTTTGACCCTGCTTTTTTAAACTAGATAATAATCCTGTTAGTGAGTAAGCTGTGGCAGAATCCATCTTATGCTTCCACTACAATGTCGGTGCTGCTTTGCTAGTAGCTATAAGAACACGCAAATCAGTCAGGCAGACAACACTGAATAAGTGAAGTACAAGTATGCTCTGAGGACAACAGGTGTGGATTTGGGTTTTGGGTGTTTTTTTTTAACTGCTGTACTCTGAAATAAAACTTTATATAGGATTATGCTTCTATTTAGAGAATGAAGTAGGGTTCACTACCAGGACCACAGGCAGGTTTGCACTGAGTGCTTTATGCCACCATGCTCCTTTTTTTTTCACGTTAGCTTGTTACACATAGGAAAACACAACATATAAAACCAGATTTCCCTCCAGATATATCCTACTGTCATTAGTGAGCCATTGATGATATATTGTAATATATAGCTACTGGACTTCTTGTCAAGCCAACTGAAAATTGCATTCATTTCTTTCGAAATAATATCATAACTTTGTAATTTCTTGATTATGAGTGAAAAAGTTAATGGAAGATGTATTAAACAGAGCATATAACTAACACTAATTTTAGTTCATAAGAAAACTTAATTCTCAATCTAAGATGACACACATGCTACTCAAAATGAAGAGCCTGCAATGTTGAAAGCAAAAAGCAGTTTTGGTAGGAGGCTTGCCAGGCTGGTCAAGGAGGCTTTAAACTAGATGTGTTGGGGGAGGGGGGCATCATTCCATCCCAACACACCCAGTCAGTTGCCAGCACCTATAATAAATGCTTGGACCAATGCAGAGATATTCCGGCTGCTCCAGCCAATGAGCCGGCTTCATTTGGAGCTCGGCTCAGATGCCTCTATACAAATGCCCGTAGCATGGGGAACAAACAAGAGGAATTAGAGATGTGTGCTCGTCTACAGGGGTATGATATTATAGGCATCACAGAAACATGGTGGGATGGCTCCTATGACTGGAGTGTTGGAATGGAAGGTTACAGACTCTTTAGAAAAGACAGGCCTGGCAGGCGCAGAGGGGGAGTTGCCCTTTATGTTAGGGATAGGCTGGAGAGTATGGAACTCTGTCTGGGGACTGGTGAGCAGTTAACAGAGAGCTTGTGGGTCAGGGTTAAAGGGAAAACAGTGATGGGAGACATTACTGTGGGGATCTGTTATAGACCACCTGATCAAGAGGAATCTGCGGATGAAGCACTCTATAGGCAGATAGGAAAAGCCTCACGCTCACAGGCCCTCGTTCTCATGGGTGACTTCAACCACCCTGACATCTGTTGGAATGACGGTACGGCCCGGCACAAGCAATCCAGGAGGTTCCTCGATTGTGTGGAAGACAACTTCCTTCTGCAAGTAATAGAGGAACCGACAAGGAGAGGTGCCATGCTTGACCTTGTGCTCACCAACAGGGAAGGGCTTGTTGGAAATGTGGCACTGCAGGGCAGCCTTGGATGGAGCGATCATAAGATGGCTGAATTTGAGATCCTTAGGGCAGTGAGAAGAGCGTGCTGCAAGCTCACTGCCCTAGACTTCAAAAGAGCAGACTTTGGCCTCTTCAGGAACCTGCTTAGTAAGGTTCCATGGGATATAGCCCAAGAGGGCAGGGGGGCTCAAGACTCTTGGTTGGTCTTCAAGGATCACCTGCTACAAGCTCAGGAGTGTTGCATCCCAACTAGAAGGAAGTGCAGCAGGAGGGAGAGGAGACCTCCTTGGATGGATAAGGAGCTCCTGAGGAAAATTCAAATGAAAAAGGAGTTTTATAGAAAGTGGAAGCAAGGACAGGTGGCCTGGGAAGAGTACAGGGATATTGTCCATGAAGCTAGGAACCAGATTAGGAAAGCTAAGGCCCAGTTAGAATTAACTTTGGCTAGGGATATTAAGGATAACAGGAAGGGATTCTACAGGTACATAGCGAATAAAAAAACAGATTAGGGAGAATGTAGGCCTCCTCAGGAAGCTCTCAGGAGAACTAGCTACACAGGATTTGGATAAGGCTGAGGTTCTGAATGACTTCTTTGCCTCCGTCTTCTCTAGCAAAGGTTCTGACCACACCACCCAAGTCTTGGAAGGCAGATGCAGGGACTGTGAGAATGAAGACCTTGGGCCCACTGTAGGAGAGGAACTGGTTCGACACCATCTTAAAAATCTGAATGTGCACAAGTCCATGGGTCCTGATGAAATCCATCCGCGGGTCCTCAAGGAGCTGGCGAATGAAGTTGCTAAGCCACTGGCCATCATATTTGAAAAATCATGGCAGTCAGGTGACGTTCCCGACGACTGGAAAAAGGGAAATATAACCCCCATTTTCAAGAAGGGGAAAATGGATGATCCGGGGAATTACAGACCAGTCAGTCTCACCCCTGTGCCTGGCAAAATCTTGGAGCAGATTCTCCTGGAAGGCATGCTAAGGCATAGGAAAAACAACAAGGTGCTTGGTGACAGCCAGCATGGCTTCACCAAGGGGAAATCCTGCCTGAGCAATTTGGTGGCCTTCTATAATGGGGCTACAGAACTGATGGACAGCGGTAGAGCAGTTGATGTCATCTACCTGGATTTGTGTAAAGCGTTCGACACTGTCCCACACGGCATCCTTGTCTCTAAATTGGAGACATCAATTTGATGAATGGACCACTCGGTGGGTAAAGAACTGGCTGGATGGCCGCACACAAAGAGTTGTGGTCAATGGCTCAATGTCCAGCTGGAGACCGGTAACAACTGGTGTCCCTCAGGGATTGGTGTTGGGACTGGTCTTGTTTAACATATTTGTTGCTGACATGGACAGTGGGATTGAGTGCGCCCTCAGCAAGTCTGCCAATGACACCAAGCTGTGTGTTTCGGTTGATACGCTGGAGGGAAGGAATGCCATCCAGAAGGACCTTGACATGCTTCTGAGGTGGGCTGATGCCAACCTCATGAAG